GTTTCCACAACCTCCGGGAGCTATCACAGAAGAGCGACAGGGCTCCAACACACCACGCTCCCACCCCAGCAGGCTGGGGCCAGCCACTTGCTAGAAACCAGGGCCTGAAAAACCATCCTCGTTTTGCTGATTTTGCAAATCCAGGGAACTTGGCTTGCAGCAAACATTTCCAGGTCCGCACCGTGCAAAGCACACGTGTTAAAGCATCGCTAAAGTTGATCAAACGAGCACTGAATGGGCTGGAAGCCTGGGGAGGGGGAAGAAAGGGGCTGAGCTTTGGGTTAGCATCCAAGGAGTCACCAGAAGCCCGAACCTCTGACTTTGCAGTTGAAATAAAGAGGGCAGAAGGGGATCAGGTTGCGGGGCCAGCTCTGCCGAGGAGCAGCGATGGGAAGCCATTATCTTTTATGAGCAGTAGCCGCTGGGGGGAGCGAAAATTGCACGATGTGCAGCTTCCCAGCAAGGCACGAAGGGATTTTAGTCTGAAATCACAGCTGGACAAAAGAGCATCCCTGCTAGCGTGCCCGGCTCGCCCCTCGGCCGCTCCCCAGCTCTCCTCCGCAGGAGCCCCAGGCTGGCGCTCGAGCAGGCACAGGCTGCGAAAGCTGGAAGGAAACGTCAGGGCTCCGTGGGGCAATTGGCTAGGTCGGTCGTGCGGCCGCTTCGGTCCCAGCCCGACTGGCGATTTGGGACGAGGCAACCCACGATGCCTTAAGCACAGACACCCTCCTTGCTTTGCCCAGGTTGGCTCCTGAAGCACGACGGGTGCTGCACCTCTGCAGGAGCAGCAGTGCCCTTCAGCCCCGCAAGCTGACGCACCGCCAGGGAGAAAGGACCATGTCTGCCCTACAGCCATCATTTTTGAGGCACAGCAGCAAAAGCGAGAAGCTGGAGCCTATCCCGCCGCCCGCTCGCAGCAGCAGCATCATCCTTGACGGGCAGAGCTGGACCGAGGTGTGGGGAGGAGGATATGGGCCAGGATCCAGGGGATGAAAGCAGCCAGGCCAGTTGGGCAAGAAGCAGGACAGCTGGGTGCTCAGGCAGCACCAAACCCTTCTCCTCCCCTGTGACCAGCAGCTCTGCAAGGTGCTGTGCTTGCCAGGCCCCCGGTCCCTTCAAGCAGCCCAGCCGGGGTGCAGCACCTATGGCAGCACCCACATAGGTCAGGCAGCCCACGGCCAGACCCACAGCCCACACACCACCACCAGGCACCCTCCTCCCCA